GCGTCAAGGCGCACGACACCATTGTCCACAATAGCGTCAAGAGGGCCACGCAGCGCCTCCTGCGGCAATACCTCAAAACGGGACTGGTGGACGAGGACTACACGCCGTTTCTGGGGTCCGCCGGGCCGCCGGGGAGTCGCAGGATGGACATCGTGCTGCCTGCCGACGCCTTCCCGGTGACCGGCTACGACGACCCGACACGCCACCTACCGCTCATGGTGGACGTTACCTGCTTCGAGGCACAGGTGGCGTCGCGGGCGGCGAAGACTGCAGCAGACCCCGAGCGATGCTGCCGCGACCAAGAGGCCGCCAAGACTACCCACTATTCTGGTCATTATGATCAGAATTGCTACAAACTTGCCACATTGGCAATAGGGTCATTTGGCAGCATCGGGGAGCAGGGGCGGAAGCTGCTGGAGGCTGTGGCGACGGAGTATGCCAGCAGGATGTCAGTGCCCGGAGGAGCGCGCCCTAAAGCTCTCAAGGGCATCGCCCTGGCGCGCTTACGCTCGGCACTGTCGGCAGCGCTCCACATGGCGTACTCTGGCCGTGTCATGACACACATGGCAGAATCCAGGGGGGGGGGGCACATGGAGGAGGACGTAGGGGAGGACCCCGAGATGCCATTTGGCGGCGGCGGCGTTTGAGTGGTTGTCGTTGCGACACTTTCAGACTGTCATACGACATGTAGATTCCTTACAGCTAGATGCCAATCATCTGGGCTTTTTCGCGCCCTGAGCGAGAATTAATAAAAAGTACACTCCCCCAACAAGTACAAGTACAAACAGCGTCCCAAGCTCGTTAACGCCGAAAGGCGTGGCAGCGAATGCGGCTGGTTTGGTGGGTGGGCTGGGCTGCAGGGCTTGCAGGAGCTAGCACCAGCGGCCCTCAGGTGATGCCAGCGTGCGTAGCCCCTTCGAGAGAACTTCAAACATGTGGTGGTGTCTCGGAAGCCCTGGCTGGCGTGCGGAGGAGGGACAGGCAGCGGCTTGGCGTGCTTGGAGAGCAAGCGGAGTCGGCTGCACGCCACGGCACCAACCACAAGTTACTCGCAGCGGTAAATGGCAATATCTTGTCAGGCTTGCAGCCTGCGGTGAGCCGTGACCTCGCTCATCAAGGAGGCGATGCTTTACTTAGTTATATAGCCTTTTTCTCTAGCGTCAGCGCCTGGCGCCCAGTGACTCCCTCTGCTTATCTCTATGATATCGGGGTTCACGTAGATCGCCACAATCTCCAGTTCAGGGCCCATCATGGTGACCTTGGCCTGCATGAAAACTTTGAGATGGAGTCTGCGTGGAGCTGGGTGGCCCTTAGAAGGGTCTGTCTGTGGGGGGAGAGTCTTGCAGCTTTCTTTGGTATCCCTGCTAGTGTGTGGGGGACAGTCGCTTGCGGATGCTTTGTTGGGGGTGATATGGGAGGCCCGGTGAACCACCGTCCCGCTCATCAAGGAGGCGATGCTTTGCTTAGTTATATAGCCTTTCTTTCTAGCGTCAGCGCCTGGCGCCCAGTGACTCCCTCTGCTTATCTTTATGATATCGGGGTTCACGTAGATAGCCACAATCTCCAGTTCAGGGCCCATTATGGTGACCTTGGCCTGCATGAAAACTTTGAGATGGAATCTGCGTGGAGCTGGGTGGCCCTAAGACGGGTCTGTCTGTGGGGGGAGAGTCTTGTAGCTTTGTTTGGTATCCCTGCTAGTATGTGGGGGACAGTCGCTTGCGGGTGCTTTGTTGGGGGTGATGTGGGGGGCGGGGTGTGGCGTGCAAGCTTTGCATGCTACATCCAAGAGTGAGAACAAGGCGACACACCTACAACATGGCATTTCCACAGCCACAAGTGGAATATAATAAAAGTACAAGTACAAACAGCGTCCCAAGCTCGTTAACGCCGAAAGACGTGGCAGCGAATGCGGCTGGTTTGGTGGGTGGGCTGGGCTGCAGGGCTTGCAGGAGCTAGCACCAGCGGCCCTCAGGTGATGCCAGCGTGCGTAGCCCCTTCGAGAGAACTTCAAACGTGTGGTGGTGTCTCGGAAGCCCTGGCTGGCGTGCGGAGGAGGGACAGGCAGCGGCTTGGCGTGCTTGGAGAGCAAGCGGAGTCGGCTGCACGCCACGGCACCAACCACAAGTTACTCGCAGCGGTAAATGGCAATATCTTGTCAGGCTTGCAGCCTGCGGTGAGCCGTGACCTCGCTCATCAAGGAGGCGATGCTTTACTTAGTTATATAGCCTTTCTCTCTAGCGTCAGCGCCTGGCGCCCAGTGACTCCCTCTGCTTATCTCTATGATATCGGGGTTCACGTAGATAGCCACAATCTCCAGTTCAGGGCCCATCATGGTGACCTTGGCCTGCATGAAAACTTTGAGATGGAGTCTGCGTGGAGCTGGGTGGCCCTTAGAAGGGTCTGTCTGTGGGGGGAGAGTCTTGCAGCTTTGTTTGGTATCCCTGCTAGTGTGTGGGGGACAGTCGCTTGCGGATGCTTTGTTGGGGGTGATATGGGAGGCCCGGTGAACCACCGTCCCGCTCATCAAGGAGGCGATGCTTTGCTTAGTTATATAGCCTTTCTTTCTAGCGTCAGCGCCTGGCGCCCAGTGACTCCCTCTGCTTATCTTTATGATATCGGGGTTCACGTAGATAGCCACAATCTCCAGTTCAGGGCCCATTATGGTGACCTTGGCCTGCATGAAAACTTTGAGATGGAGTCTGCGTGGAGCTGGGTGGCCCTAAGACGGGTCTGTCTGTGGGGGGAGAGTCTTGTAGCTTTGTTTGGTATCCCTGCTAGTATGTGGGGGACAGTCGCTTGCGGGTGCTTTGTTGGGGGTGATGTGGGGGGCGGGGTGTGGCGTGCAAGCTTTGCATGCTACATCCAAGAGTGAGAACAAGGCGACACACCTACAACATGGCATTTCCACAGCCACAAGTGGAATATAATAAAAGTACACTCCCAATGCTTCAGAGGGAAGGCATGCGTGGAGCATGAGACGTATCCAACATGATGGTACCTGCACGTGCATAGAGTATCTGTAGTCCGCCTCTCAAGCAAAGGTAAATGAAGTACTCCTGTACAAACATCTGGGCTGAAGCCTTTGGGCGCTGTACGACATCGCCGAGTACCCATTCTGTACATACCAGCTGCTCGTTAGCACCGAGAGGTGCGGCAGCGCTTGCGGTGGCGCTGATGGTGGCGAGGGTGCATCAGGCAGCTAGGAGATGGGAGATGCTGGCTCTGACTGTGAGCAGGAGCTGCGGAGTCGCGTGTGGTGAGGATACGGCTTTGGGCAGCAGCAGGGGATATTGGAACATGGGGATGCGGATAGCATCAGGGCACACTGTAGATCGTTTGATTGAACACGCAAGAAAGAGAACCTCGGCCAGGCACGTCAGCGGCGTGCTTAGGCAAGGAATCGAGGACCGGGCGCCTCTGGCCCAAATGTATACTAGAGGCATAACCGCGGTCCTCCGGCGTTTTCGCTCAAGAGATGGAGACATCGGCTACGATAGGTGTGGCTCAGACTGGGTGCCGCTGTGTCTACCCCCCATGAGTCTAGTACAAGCCTGCAATGCAGGGCTCTAAGGGCCCGTCCGATTTTAGTTTTTTGCAATCTTATCCAACGCATCAAGCCCACCTTGGGGCTGCTATAAATACAAGATCATAAGTACAGCCAGCTTGCACCTAGGTGCAAATCGTGAGGCGCATAATATACTAATGATCTTTTATTTGTAGCGGGCATCAAGGTGGGCTTGGCTTTGCGGGACCATGTGCAAAAACCTAACATCGGACTGGACCTGAGGGCTCTTTGAACACACCATGTATTGCGTTCTTAATTATTGCAACGCTGAACGTCGTCAATTTAACTTTCGTGGCCAATGCAACAACACTTGCAGCACTCTGTGTAGTGTGTCGCACCGGCGAGCAGCAGTAGCTTGGTGACTAATAGTCGTGGCGCATCGCAGCTGCTCTTGGCATATGCCTCTGCAGTACGTGATCTGTGATGCAGTGCATTGCAATGGCGTAACCACAAGACTCGCGTGACCTCGTTTTCGTGATCTGATTGGCTGCTGCCGAATATTAGTTCACTTCAATTGTGCTTCACTTTTAAGTTGAAATTTACAGCCCCTTTCAACGTTGATCAACATGAATTGATCTGAAAGATGCCACTGTCTGAACGTGTTTTTGCAACATCATGCTAACAATGGCTGTACGCAAGGCTTTTTCAATGCAAAAGTACTACTAGCACTGGTGCACACACGTGTACGCTCACCTCTCCGGCCTCCACTCCGCATGGCATAGAGTCTTTATGTTTGGTTGAAGCACACATGGGGGTCCCAAGGGAGTGGACAGGTGGAGGCGGATGGGGGGTGATTGATGCCATTCGACAATGACCCTTTCAAAATGAGTGCCAATGCGCATTGACCCACTCAAGAGATTCGACCATGCGCATCAATTGACGCTCTTCAAAAGTCACACAAGGCACAAGGGAACAAGTTGATTTAGGTAATGTAGCACAGTTGCCATTGTCCTTGTGAGCTCGTGTGCACTCTGAACGAGACTTTGAAATGTTGAAAAAAGAAAAAAGATGTATGCACCACCAAAATATCCATTCAAAGGTGTCTATTTGACAATAGTATTTGTTTACAGTGTACCAACAGGGGTAAAGTATCTACTATAGATGCTGAGTGCAACTACATCAAGTATGGCACGATCACAATGTATGCAGTACGTGTATGAGTGTGCTGCATGTACAGGAGGTGATTTCTCCACATCAGCACACATCCCTGCAGAACCGACTATTTCTGTCCACCAACCCTCAAGTCACTGATGCCACCACTGCCTAGCAAGTCGAGAGTCTCCAGCACAGGCTCTGCCATGTTTAGGCACCAAGATCGCTCATGCGGTACTTCGACGCATACTGACATTTATGCTGCCAAGAGTGCTGGGTGTGAATGGATGAGCATCTCTCAACAAGTGGGGTAAAACCTTTGTAGCAAAAAGAAAAAATCAATCGACACCTGTGTGATTCGAACACACGCGTGCGTAGCACACTGGTTTTCGAGACCAGCCCGTTAGACCACTCCGGAAAGGTGCCTATACGTTCTCTTATGGAATTTGCCAAATATACCGCGTCTTTCACGAGTATCTTCTTGCTGGCGACGAGCTACAGATCTAATCTTTGTTCCAGAGAACATCCTTTGCGAGTACGTGAGTTTTCAGGACTTCATACCTCCGCATGCGCGACTGATCTGACAGCTGCAACCAGGTCGTCTGTGTGTCACCACCTCCTGCACCATCTGGGCGCAAGCCGCTGCCAGAGAGAGTACGAGCACAGTGTCTTGTGTATCCATGACAAGCACCTTCATCTCAGCGATAGCAGACGCTGAGGCGGGTGCCTGGGAGTGCTTCGCTAAGCACCCCCAACTGGGCGCCATGACGCCTGGTGACTGGCAGCGGGAGCAGCGCGCAGATGCTCAGCTTGAGCCAATGTGCAACATGCAGCTTTCAAGACAGTTGTATAAATTAACTGCTGGTGTGTGGCGGTGCATACCAGCTCTCGAGTCACCAGTTCGCTTGACCAGCATGTTAGGCACAGCTGTGTCGTCCTTGGCCACTTTAGATGTGCCTGCATGCACTGCACTCCATAATGATGATCTCTTCAAACAGTTGCTGTGAACTTCGTTGAACCCTTAACAGTAACTGTTACCCTTAGACTAGCCCCAATCCTCACCTTAAACTTTGTAATGTACCACGGACTCAAGGACGTCACAATGCATTGTCAACAATGTATTGCCTGTCCGCAACCTCAGGCTCAATGGCAACTGACGGCCTAATCTCATGCACCCCCAATTTTGATTTCGTTGAATGGGGTCACGGCCGTTGGGAGGGGCACATAATAGTCAGTACATAAATACTATTAGGCAGATATATTTACATGGAGGCTTTCTTTCCTTCAAGACCAGTCACGCTGTCCTCGCTGATCGCTTGTAGGCTCGAGAATGACAGCACAATCAGTCTGAGTGCACATGGCTGCACAACCAACACAGCCACTGGCCACTGGCAGTGCATCCGGCACTACAGCCACTACAAGTCTGAGACTGCTTGATGCGGGACCGTCACTTAGTGTTTGTTGTTGCTGCTGCTGTCGCAGCAATCATTGCTGCTGCTGTTGAGTCGCAAGCGATTGATACCTCAGCATCTGGTGTGCTGACATCGGCTGGTGGCACTGGCAAGGGCGGGCCTGCTGCTGCTGCAGTGCTACTAGTAGTACTGCTGCCTGCGTGCTGGTGTGCTCCGAGAGTCTGCGGCCGCTACACTACAGCAGCAGCAGCTTCAGATTCTGACACTTTCAGGAGTGGGCAGGTCACCGGCGGCGACACCTGCATTGCATTGTTTAGACAGCAGCAGCAATAGCACGGTAATGTATTCTGCCAGTAAAGGTAGCAGCACTGTTGGCACTGCAACGCCGGCGGCAGCAGCAAGTTGTACGTAGTTGATCTGCATTGCCAGCACACGACCCCGTCCAATGCAATGGCAAGTCGCTCCAGCTCGCTCAGCTGCGCTGCCATGCGCTTTGATGACGCCTCGACATCCATGTGTAGCCTGGGGGGTCACTACCACGCCTCTTGACTGTACGTGTTGAGCCGCACAATCGCATGTGGACGCAGTACCGGACATATGCAATTGCGCAACTAGTGTTTCCTTGCTGAATTCGATGCGTACCCATGGCCTTGGTCGTCGTCATGCTTTCACTGTGCTGCTGTTGGCTTTAGCTGTTCCAGATTGCATGCGCAAGCATGCGTGGTCAGTAGCGCACAACTATGGCTATTTGGAAGCACTGGTATCCGTAAGATGCGAAGGATGTGGCATTTGCTTGTCATGCAGCTACATCACTACAGCACACTACAGCCGCATGGCGACTGGCTCATTCATCCCAAATCTTCGGTCGTTACTCTTGCCACGCTAGACTTTCATGTGCAGCGCTTGTGCACGAACGTCATGATGACAAGGTGTCAACGACAGCACGCAGCACCGTGACCTAAGTCGCTAGTGCATGCAGCGCTGCAAATGTTTACCACTCGCTCTCTGCAAATATCAAAATATTCCCACTCACCCTTTGCCTCAGCCTTGTCACACTCTGCAGGTACTGCAGTGGGCGCAAGCCAACGGTCATCTGGCGCTTCTGTAATGGGCTCGTGCGAACGGCTGTCCGTGGAATAAAGAAACGTGCAGCGGCGTTGCCCGGGGCGGCGTGTACATGTGCTGCAGTGGTTACGGGCCAACTGCCCATGGGCAGAGAATCTGTGCTTAGACGCAGCATATGAAGGGCATCTGAAGGTGATGCAGTGGGCTCACGCCAACAGGTCTGCCGTCTGGCGCGGATGCGGAGGCACCTCCACATTGCGCAGTGGCTACGCCGCAGTTTGACGATCACTGTGACTTGCCGTTTGTCATCGCTGTGGCAGCGGCGGAGCGCGGCGATGTACCGCTGGTGAGCTGGGCCTGCGCCACTGGGTGCACGTTAACTACTGCGCTGTGCGATGCCGTATCCGATTCGGCAGCAGCTGTTAGCTGAGCATGGCCACCGTGAGGTACTAAGTTGCTGCACAGCAATGGCTGTCCCTGGCGCGCAAAGACAGAATGGCCATGAGGAAGGAGCTGAGTGGGCCTGCGCCAACGGCTGTCCCCATGACGTTGACGACGATGATGATGATACCAGTGATTAAGGCGGTGGCGAAGCAGAGACTGGTGATGAGCGCAGTACTGGTGAGGCAGATGGCAGCCATGCAGGATGGAGTGGCGACGAAGGCAGTGGTGAAGAAGGCAGTGATAACGATGGCAACGTGATGATAGCGATGAATAAAGTAGCAAGGAGGATTGACTTAACCGTTACCTTGCAGAAAGAGTAAATGGCGCATTTCGCTTGAACAAATCAGTCACCAAGTTGCACAGCACAGTGTGTTGTCAGCTGCCAACATGTGGCTGAGCTGGACTTGCACACGTGTGGTGCAAATATACCACTGCATTCATTGCAAGATGCCGGTTCGTTAAGCTGACTTGAGTACCCTGACTGACAGTGTGCTCCTTCAAGGCTTGTGTTACGGTGGCAGCCATGATTGATTACAAGCAACAGCGTCTTCACGCATCAGGCGTTCACATCTTCGGCACACATGATAGCTGCGGCTCTCATCCGGCAGTCATCTTATTGTCTCATTGACTACGGCGTCAGCTGCTGTTCAAGTGAGGGATGCCACATAGCATGCTCATCATGTCCCGGCGCATTAGACTTCTTCAGCCCCGTGTTGACATCTTGTGATCAGAGATTCCAGCTGTAATTCCCATCATTGGGATGCCTCAACCCAAAGGCAATGCAACTTGGCGGTCTTCAAGCAGCCGGTGCAACTTCGACTTGAATACTAGATGGCGACGTGTCATGCGCGCGCGTGACACGCGGCGCTTCCAGGTGTGTAAGGAATTACCAAGGGCGGCACTGATGGCAGCCCTACAATCTGTTTTTCGGTTCATCACTGTGGTGCACGGCACATCAAGTCTGTTCGATTAGGGACGTAGAACCTAAAAATCGCCATGATGGTATCAATACTAGCTTATTAAGGAAGCAAGACAGGAAAAACTGCAGCCTCCTGCCCCCACGCAGGCTTCAAAGTGAGATCTAGTAGTAGCACACTATGGTATATGCAAAGTGGGTAGCTCCCTGTTCAACTGGCTGAAAGCAGTATTACAATGACTTATGCCAGTGCACTACTGGGCCACCAGTCTGAGAGTGCTATCCACACATGGGAATCATGGAGAGTGCTTGCAAACTGCTGCAAAATAAACATCAGGGGCAGTTTGTTTCGTGCTCTACTAGACTAAGCTTAATAAGTAACCATGGCCGATTGCGTTTTCACCTGCACGGGTGATCTATACATTCAGAGAAGACGCACAAAGGCAAGATGGCAAGACAAGTGTTGTGCGTTCACCAAAAGCCGTTCTGGTTCACTACCAAATCATGCCACTGCTTGTCCAAGCTAGGCCTCAGCAGGCAGCATGCATGCACACAGCAGCTGCACCAACAGTTTCAAAGTTGGCAAGCAACGACAAAACAGGTCATACTACTAATAATATAGTATGTAGACTATAATACCTGAAAATATGCCTTACGTCACGGTGGCTCGGCAATATGCATGCACTACAGTAACTGCCGTCACCTTCTGTAGGGAGCCGCCCCTCCACTTGGCTACCACGTGACACCTGCAACGCAGCTCTTTGTGTTGGCAATACAGCATTGCAACCACCTGTAGCTGCAGCAGCAGGAGCCATCAAATGGCAAGCCATCCTGGCACACATATCATATGGTCAGCATAGCAGGCACATGGACTTGGAGTCTGTGTTGACAAGCGATGCATCAATGCGTTTGTAATTGGATGAGCCTTAACGGGCCATGGGAAGGATGCATACATCAACTGGCACAAATTACAAAATATTCCATAACAGCATGCGTTCCACAGTCAGCTCAGCACCTACGATGTCGGCGCATTGACTACAACAGTGTTCTCCTCAGGAGGCTCTGACTCACGCAGCTCAGACTCTGACAGCTGAGAACTGCGATGGAAAATGCCGAACATGGACGCCTGCTCCAGCGGGCCATCGTCAGTTCTGACGCTGCTGAGGACCAGGAGGGCCTGGCCCAACGCCATGATCAGGAGCAGCACGTTGAGCGCTATGAGCAGGTTGCCGATAATGGTCTCGCTCTGCTCGTCCGTGTAGCTGACGTGCATCAGCAGCGACAGGAAGTAGGTGATGTAGATGATGCTGTAACCTGTGGGGCCAGGGTAACACGGGCAAGACAGGCGGCGCAGAGCAAAAAAAAATAATTAGTGTCAGCGTCAGCAGTGTCAGTCAGTCAGTCAGTCAGCGTCAGCGTCAGCGTCAGCGGTGCGATGCCATGGTGAGGGATACCCGTGTGCTGCATCAGGCAAACCACTCTCTCAGAGGCTCCTACCAGCCTCAAAACGATCATCATGGACCATGCGCATATTGTTGATTGGCTCACCAAGTCGGTAGAGCCATGTGTCGTACCCCTCCTCGTGCGGG